ATAACAATTTTCTTTTTTTTTCTCCGTTTTTTTAATTAACAGTTTATATAACCTGAACCAGAAACGTTTCGTATACAGGAAAGAGGCGAGAAAAAGGGTAATTGGATTGAAAACTAATATTATTTTGTTGCGCTCCTGTTTCTTTATATACAATCGTACACAACACTGCCTTCCGAAGATTTAAAAAAAAAAAATCGTTTTTGTTTTAACTTTTTTAATTAAAATTGAAAGTGAAGTACAGAATATAAAATTAATAATCATGGCAACTATAAGGTAAAATGGTGAGTATTTTGTGAATAATCAATTTATATTTGAATATACATACATACTAATTTATAAAATTTACATATTTATTAAATTTTAGGGGATTATGAGTGATTTTTGATGATTTATGTGTTTTACAAACCATTATGTCCACAAATTTCGAGGAATCGCAAATTTCGAGGAAAATAAATGAAAACCATTTTCATTTCATTATTACACACGATATTATTTAAGCTATAAATATAGAAATATATAGATATAAGATTAATAATAAGATACTATTTGCATACATAGTTATAAAATGAATAGTTGTATTGTATTAATCTTAAGATTTTATATGTATATTTGTAAATTGATACTAATAACAATAATAACTATCCAAATTACCTTTACACGATATAATAGAAGCTAAATATAATGGTGATGACAAACACGGTATCACAATCGAAATTTAAAAAATTACATTAAATTCTGATTACGGATCAAAATATTCATTATATATGTGAATAAATATTATAGACCTTTGGATTTATTTATGTTTTATTAATATTTGCTTGAATAAATTATTTTTAATTTAACGTAATATTAAAATTGATTCTGTGTTTGTTAGTCGACCATTCCTTTACAAAACAAAAAAAATTTTAATTTCCTCTTATTTCCCTGTTTTTTTTTATGTTCTGCTTTGGAGTTTTTAAATTGGTTATATAGTTCCAAAAAAATTTAATTTTAATAAATTTTTATTTTAAATTGTACAATATAAAAGAAAATATTATGAATTGCATAGATAATTTAAATTTATCAAAATAAGAAAAGAAGCATTTGTAATTAAAAATATTTTAAAAGATCAACTTGTAAGATTCAATTATATATTCTAAACATTATTTTAAGAATATATGTTCTATTTAACTTAAAAACTAATTAGATTTTTCCAAAGTTTTTCAAATTATAAAAAATTTAAAATCGATATTTCTTCATTCTTTCCGTATTTTTTTCACACAGAAATCATAACTATAGAATAATTTCCGCATTTTATATTTTCTTAGATATTTAAAGAGTATATGTACTTTAATGTAGTCTTAATTATTACAGCTGCATCTAAATTATACAATCTAGATTTAAAATTTGAAATTTTTTATAAAAATTTCGTAGCAGCGTAATTTCTTACTTAAATTGAAAGCTTTAAAGGATTTTTTTCCTTTTAATTCTACAAAATACGTACATAATTTATTTTGGTTTTTCATTTTTTTTCTTATCCTTGAAATCCTAACCGGCTCATTCTTATCTTAATTTCGTCTCCATTTTCTTTAATATTTTTTTGCCCATTTATTTTTCCCCCTATTAATTCAAATACGTGTATACATTTAACTTTATTTCATTAATTTATATAAATAACCTTTAAATGAAGTCCTGTAATCAAATTTTAATTGCAACTTAGACGATGTCGAAAGAACCTATTTTTTTTTTTTTTTTTTTGGAAAATTATATAAATATATTATGAATACATAAGTAAAGACGTATGTACGGACATTGATAATCTGTGTCTATCTCTAAAATAATGAAAGAAAATTACTTTAGAATCCAGCGAAATGCTCATATACATTTATATCCCTTATATACCAACAGTTGTTGAAACGTACAAGATGTGAAAGAATGCATGCCAGTGTTTACCTGTATCTATGTATTTTTATATTATTATGCATGTATAATAATATCGAACACTTTCATATTACTATAGACAAAAAAAAATATTCTTTTAGATTTTTTATTAAATATTCTGGAATATTCAAAAAAAAAGAAAATAATATTTAAGTAGAAAATTAGATGAAAATAATTTGTTAAACGTGTCCGCATTCAATATTCTAAATGAACAAAATATTAATATGATATTGTATATGTACATATGTGTACTCAATAAATACAATCATTATGTACACTTAGTATTGCAAATTCTTTGGATTAAAATCAAAATATATAGGCAGGTTATATGGTACGATAACACATGAGAGTATTATGTACATATATCATACAACATAAGTATGTACTAATAGATATAATAGATATATTAAGCTCTAAATGCCTGACTAAAATCAATATAGGAAATACGATATATTCATACGTATACAGGCATGCATATAGTAATCACAAAATATCAATTCACAATCTTTGAAATTTAATTTGTTATATAAGAAGAAAGAAATGCTTATTATGTTATTGGTGAACCAAGAATATACTAATTTCATGGAGAAAAATAACTCTATATAAAGGATTATATTAATATAATATTTACAGTACACTATAGTTAAATTGTATTTTCTTAGAAACTTCAGTCTTATGAAAATAGCCTTGATTACAAGGAAAACAGCAGTGAAATAAAAGACATTGAGTTTATTTAAATCTTTATTCTTTGGTAACTTTCTTAAGACTAACTTAATTATTATAATTAATGTACAAGCGAATTTTCTTTTTTATTCTTTCAATAAATCACGTTGAGTTTTTGTGCTATCATACCTGGAGTATTATTTTATTGTGTATAATGTATCCAATATTTTACTTGTTAATACGAAAGTGTTATTGTGCTAAACCAAACACCAAACCAAACCAAACTTCGTCAAATTCATTTTAACGCGTTCAATGCCATTATTCAATGTCACAGGGGTAATTCAAAAATTTAAAGAAACCATAGATCTCTTTAAGAGACCGTTCAAATTTTTTGAAGAAATTTTACTTTTAATTTAATTTTTATTTTCATTTTATAATAAATTTAATTAAAGAACTTTAAGAGAATTTAAATTAATTGATCTTGAATAAATGTGTGATTATACAATGCAAGATTTTAAATTTATCCGGCAATCACTGTAATTTTCCTAAATGCTATTTTTTCTTTACAACCGAAAAAGAAAATTGTAGTTCGTAGTAGCTGATCTACTTATCTCTTTAAAAAAAATAAAGAGAAATAGTGTTCTTATTGATGAAGGTATATTGAATTGACCAACTTATTGTAGCACAAGAAATCTAAAGAAGTAAAGTTCGCAAACAAAAATACAAAACCTTTTTAATAAGTGAACCATTTTTATATTAAAAAAAAACATGTTTAGCTTAAATTAGAGAGCTTCTTAATATTATGAACATAATATATGTATGTACACACATCCATAAGCATTGCTGGTATTGAACACTAATCATAGTTATATTAGAAATAAAATTCGAGATATTTAAAGTATAATAGTATGTATGTATGTGCATATATTCGTAAATTGTTCTAAGCACTCCATGTGATACTGTATATTCTTTTTTTTTGTTATAGGATCAAAACTTAATAATATCATAATACATATACATACATAATTACGTGAGGAAAAATGAGGAGATTTTTGACTAGATTTTGAAACACTTCCATACGTATGCATAAATGTATGTATAAGGAAAAACTGGAATATTTCTTATGCATACTCACTTTCTTTGTTTTTTACTCATTCCGGCTTGGATGCTGTTTAACACTTGCTTTTATATCGTATACCTGATCTGGATTACAAAAACTGTTAACAATACAACATGCAGATAATATGCATACATACATACACATACATAATAAATAATGTACTTTTTATTCGTTGGAGCGATTCCAAATTTAGAATGCCAGAATACAAATAAAAATTTCATTTAGAAAATAGTATTTCTGGCATAAAATTTATTTAATATTATATTTTTTTATATAAGAAATTTAATTACATATTCAAATAAATACTATAAAATATTAACAAAACCTTATTTTTAATTGGAAACCCAACATACGGAGCATTACTTATTTTTTTAGTAAGCGGCTTTAACGCATCGACGTGAGGCAATCTAAATCGAGCAATATTAAATGGTTAAAAAATTATATTAATATAAAAACATAAAAAATTAAATCCATCCTAGTTTTCTATCCATCCGGTTTCTCCCCCTCCCTTACTTAAACGAAAATAATAGCATTCTTAAGGACCAACAATCTGCGTATAGCCATAATATGGAATGACGTTAGATTTTAATTAAATACAATATTGAATCATCAAATTTATTGAACATTTGGTGCATTATACTTTATACATAATATGTATATGTACATAGGTACATGCTTGAAGCAAATTTTTTCAGTTAGTGTAAATTTGCCTATATTTTTGATTTACCAAGTTCAAGAAAAAGCCCTTAAGTTTCATGTGACCTGCTTATATGAACCCTTTTTAGTATCTAAATACAACCATACAATATATAAGGATAAATAATAGTCATATACGAATGTATATATGTATATGGACATGTTATCTAGGTATAGAAATAAGATAAGAAAGAAGAATGAAAATTACATATTTTGAAATACAAAAATCTTTTTTAAGAACTTACGAAAGAAAAAGGAAATATTTTATTAGAACTGAAGTGACCGGATTCCTTTAAATTGTTAAAACTCATTCCAACTCATTTTCGTTGTAAAAGGATTTTTTAAGGAAAAGACGACAATACCTTGGTAGGAACATATTCATTTACAGATGTGTATTTTTATACTTATTTTTATGTATCATCACACTGTATATACTCGTAGATTCATAACGTATGTAAGAATCAAGTGCTTATTGATTTTATACATTTAATACGCTTCACTCTTACACGAAGCAACATATTACGAATTTACAAAATTTAGAATGCAATCATTTTTGTTTTGTGCATGTACAATGTAAATTTAAACATTAAAACTAGTTAACTAGGTAACGATTTTTTACAAATTTGTTTCTTGTTAGGTAAGTAGGTATCTTCTGTATGATACTTTAAAATCAGATAATAATTGATCTTCTATTTCTAAAATGCTTCTAATTAAATACATTCATATTTAATCAAATAAGATTCGACTATTGATTATCAAACAAAAACCTCTTAAGAATTAAATATGTAAATGAGTATATTCAGATCTGTAAAGCATATTTTTTTTTATTTTCAAAATAATTTACATTTGTAATTTAATCCTTAACTCTTAAATGATAAAGCATTTACAAAAAGAAAAATCTAATTTAGATTATACTCGATCCAGTGCTTCCACCATTACAATACTGTTTCCTCTAATAACCTGAAATTATAAAAACCTAAGTATGTACATATATAGTTATGTATCCTAATAAAATAACTTAGTACACATTAAAAATAATTTGTTAAAAAACGTTTAAATATTGTACAAACGTATACGTACATAAATATGAAGATAAATTACAACTTACCACCATGCCGATATTGTTTTTAGTACTATCCCGGCATTCTTCAATTGCTTCATCAATCACAACATTCATAAATGGATCGAAACCTCGTAAAATACCAACGACTGATCGTCCACCATTTAATTTTACCATCATTTTTTTATCCATAAACCTAAAATAGAAAACAAACATATTTGTGAACTAAATATTGCAAACTTATGTAGATATTTTCAATATAAAGCTACTGAAAACAAGCCTTTCCTAACCTATATACACTTTATTACTCAAAAATCAAATTGTATAGATTAATAAGTCCCGGGAAATTTACTTACTTTTTCAATTCTGGGGGATGAGCTTTCGACATTTTTAATTTTTATAACTAATATTTTATGCTTGAAAAATATTTTTTAAACGTTTGTTTAATGTTTATGATTAGGATTTTTATTTTCAAAGCTTTCGATTCTTCTTCTACGTCGATTGAAGAGAGATTAATAAAATTTTAACAGTCAAGTGACAACTGAAAATTATTCCTCTTACTAGTATTGCCATCTGACGGATTATATCGAAACTTATAAATTGATCATTTTGTTATGTAGGCTATTAATAATTATACTAGTTAAATTTTAGTGTGTTTTACCTTATTTTGTTGTGTAATTAATATTATTTTAAAAACGTAGTAATTCCTCAGGTTTTTTCCTAATAAAAATTAATATATTAGCCATATTAACAAAAATTATAAAACAATATTACGGAAGTCTATGAATATTATATAGTTCGCATTTTGAAATACAGATGGAGTTGAATACCAAACACACGTCTTGTCAATCATTTTGACAGCTAAGAACTTATTCAAAAAGTACAACAAAACATATCTAAAAACAGAACACTCAACAACTATGTTTACTCAAAATTATTTTGAAGCAAAAATTGTAATAATTGAGGAAAATCTTAAAAATTTAAACTAAAAAAATTATGACGGAGAACATTACAAACTGTTGTGCAATGTGCTTATTGGATAGAGGAACTGATTTTTTAGATTTATTCAAAGATACAGAAAATGGTAGAATTGTAAACAAATATGGGAAAATGTATGAAGATCTTTTAAATATCAAGGTAATATTAGAATATTCTTAAGTAAAATAAGTTTTATAAAGAAAAAAAAAATCTATTTTCGGTAGATCGACAATCAATATAACTTTCCTGATTTTATATGTTCATCTTGTTCACTTCAACTTCAATTGTCTATTAATTTAAAGCAAAAAGCTTTGGAATCTTTTTATAAGATAGTTTCTTTAAATGATCAAATTTTGAATGATATAAAAATGGAAAAGAATTTTATAGATAGTTCAAATTCAAATGAAAATGATTCATCAGATTTAGCTGACAATTCAACTAATTTATATGACAATACTGTGATACAAATGGATTATATAGAAGAAGTAATAGATAAAGAGGATAATTCCGTGGATTCATACTGCAGTAATAGCAACAAAAATACGGAGAGTAATAGTTATATAGATGATGGAAATCCAGAATTTTTAGATGTTCAGTTCCTTAAAGAAGAATATGAAGATGAACTAGACAATAGAGAAAATGAAGAACTATTAGAATTTTCAAGCTTTGACACAAACGAAACACGTATTGAGTCTGAAAACGAGGAAATTTTTTCTCTAACAGTCAATGAAAACGATATAAAACATAAAAGCACTTTAAATAATATCAACAATAGTTTCGTATTTAACAATGACCACAAAATGAATAACATAAAAATTCCAAATTCAAAATTAAAAAATAATAGCAAAAACACACAAAACATAAAAAAAAGAACTAAATTTATATGTGATTTATGTTCAAGAGTTTCTTATTCAAAAGAGGCATTTGAAGTACATAAGAAAGTCCATGCTGGTTTACCTGCATTTAAATGCGAAATATGTGGAAAAAATTTTAAACAAAAGGTTCACTATAATATACATATGATGAATCATACAAACGAAAGAAACTATGAGTGTAGTGAGTGCGAAAAGAAATTTAAAACAAAGTCTGATTTAAGGATTCATTTTCAAATTCACACAGGAGAACGTCGTTATGTCTGCGATATATGCAGTAAATATATTTGATACATTTACACAATAAGACAATATTTTTGTTTAATATTTTGTAGATAAAGCATACCGCGCACATTCTCATATGAAAAATCACAGGTACACACATTTCGAGAAACAATTGGAATGCCAAATCTGTAAGCAAAAGTACATTTCGCCTGCCACTTTGAAAACTCATATTAAAACAATTCATGAAATGACGACACCCCAGCATGAATGTGTACAATGCCATAAAAAATTCAAAAGAAAACATCATTTACAGGTAAAAAATATTTCAAGAACGCTTTTTATTTTTTGATTATTAAAAATATAAGCAATAAATAATTTATAGGTCCATTTGAAAACGCATAATAAAGATAAGCAAGGAGATTTATTTGAACTTACTTACATAAAAGAAATAAGTTGAAGGAGAAGTTTACAATTTTTTTTATTAGATTAAAATAATTTTAAAGTAGATATATTAATTACTGATGTAGAAGATTATTTTTAATAAATTATACGACTAAACTTATATTGAATGAACTTTTTTCTTGGCAGAGTAGTGAAAGCTATATGTTCTAAAGTAATTCAAATTCATAACTATTATACACTCACATGCAATGATTAAAACAAAATTAGTGCCCTCAAAATTTTATAAATTATTTTTATTTCCGAATAGTGCACATAGTCACATTGAAAGAATAAAAATTTGAATTATGCTTAAAGAATTTAAAAAAAAAAGAAACTATTTAGCTTTTGTAACAATTATAACAGCAGAAGGAACCAAACCCAAAACTTCTAAAGGCTTTTCGTAATCATCGTCAGTGAAAACTTTTCGAGGAAATGAGGTCATAAGATCAAATGGTAACATATCACCTTGTTTTACTTGAATAAATGTTCTTATCGCTGATAACTGCTCTTTGACTCCAAAAGTTTCAGTCAAAGTACCACCATCTTGTAATCTTATTTGAATTCTAGTATTGGAATATTCCTTCTTTTGAGTTTGTGTGGACATTGTCGGCTGTAACGGTGGTACTTCTGGCGGTGGTTGGTTTTGTTCCGCTGCCATTTTTGCTTTTCTTGCTAATTTATCAGCCTCAATTTGTGCACGTACACGTTCCCTAGCAGCCTTTTCTTCGGCTTTCTCACGTTTTCTTTGCTCGACTATTTTTTGCATTTCTAATTCTTCTAAACGCTTTTTAGCTTCAGTCATGTCTTTGCCAGATTTTATTCTATTTCTTTCTCTTTCCACCTCGTCTATTCGTTCTTGCTTTTCTCTTTCTGCTCGTTTCTGTTTAAGTTTCTCCTCAATTAAAGCTAACTGGGCCTTTTTTTCTTCTTCAGTTAATGGCTTTTTCTCTTCAGTAGATTGAGAAAAATTGTTATGACCAGTTTTTGCAGCATGAAATTCTACTTCATTTTGATCACGGAACAATTTATTACACTCATCACATTTCAAAGATTTTGCTTGTTGGGCATCCCCTTCCTCTGGCTGTCCTTCTTGAGTTTCTTCTTGTTCCGTATTTGTGACGGAAGTGCTTTCTGTTTGAGTTGTAGATTGACTAATATCTTCATCTGCATGTGCTAGTAACCATTCCATAGCAGATTCTATAGAATCGCCATTCATTTGCAAGGCCTAGAAATTATAAACATGCACTATTTTGTTTATGAATTAAATGCGAACATCCCTACCTTTTCGGCTTTTTCTTTGGGAAATCCCATATCAACCAATGTTTGTATATTCGACATACTTTTAAATATCCCTATATAAAGAGGTATAAAAACTCAAGATCAAAATATGAAATAGGCACCAAAAATTACAATGATATATTTTCCAATTATTAGAAAATTGGAACTACTCGTATGAATAGAAAATCACTAAAACCGTATGTAATTCAACATATACTTTTGACACTATTAAAATTAGTTTAGGCAAGTTTTAAATGAATTTGACAACTCAGAATAAAATTTAAATGTCAAAATTTGGGAAACGAATGTAAGGTACTGTTTACATCAAAATATACGTCAAAATATCAGATAAAATTTACGATAAAGTCTTAAACTGCCAGAATGAATCTATATCAGATTAGTTAATTCAGCAGTTTTTTACGAAAAATAAAACCAATATAAAAATCAGCTGATTGTTGTTCAAAACTTTTGCAAAAAATTAATTGCTTCAATTTTACTTTCAAAAAATCGGATATTAAATCTGATTAGAATATATAAATTTCCATTATTTACTGACAGACTAAGTCAAAGCGTGCTTTTTAAATCTAAACACTATAGGTGAGGGATCTATCTTTTTACACACTTGAATCTGCTTTGGTGAAAAAAGTTCTTAGTAAAATTTTTATAGAGATTTTTAAGAAAAAAAGACGAATTAATTTTTAGAATACTTATTCATACACTTTTACGATACAGAGTTCAGTCAACTTTGAACGGGGAATAACAAATTATTTTTAAGGAAAGTGACCCGGTAACGGTCTATTATAATCGCGGTTTAAAATTTGAATGTCATACAAAGTTTTTTTACTCTACTTCAAATACTCTCATCAAACTTTCTCCTTTGTTGTTGGCATTTACAAGTGCATTTATTATGTTTATTTTTTTTAAGTTATGGGATCTCAAAAAATTTTTATTTATATTTTTTTTTAAAAAAAACGTTTAATAATTCTATATTAAAAATTTTACATCTCTTCCAGCATGTCTGATTTGCCGAAAGGTAGTATATTTTTTTTTTTATTAATTTTTGAGAAAGTGCAATTATGTAGATATTTTCACTTATTGCAATATTACATATTTTTATATATAGGCACATATATGTATGTATATTTACATAAATGTGTGCTTTGCACAATTTCTAGCTAAATCAGCATTTTGTAAATTAATTTCGAATTTCATAGGTCATGTGAAAGCGGTTTGTAAAGAATGGTTGGTGCGCGAGGATGGTGCCTTAGCTCAACGTTTACAATCACAAGAAATTAATGAATTTTATCAAAATAATAAAGTAAGAAATGCAATAGTAAGAGAGGATTTTCCTCGAGCTCTTGATGAACAACGTAAAGAAGTAGAAGTAGCCAAAGAAGTTGAAGCAAAATATCGTGAATATTTAGAAAATCAAGAAAAGGCGGATAGGTTGCTAGCGGAAAAGCTAGAACATCATTTAAAAATTGAAAAATTGAGAAATGAAGAAATTGAATCTAATAAGGCAAAAGAAATGGCTTTACAATTGCAAAAAAAAGAAGAAGAAGCTGAGAGACAACGGATGTTAGCTATGCAAGCTGAAGTAGAAAAAGCTGAAAAATTGGCAAAAAAATTACAAATTTATGAGGAGCAATATAGTATGACACAGGGTGAACGTGACAGATTAATTGCAATAAGAGCACAAAACGAAGAATTGGCAGAAAAAGATCGTCAACTGGCTATAGAAGCACAGGATGAGGAATTGGCTAAAATGTTACAAGAAAGAGAAAAGAAAAGAGCTAAAAAACTCAGAGAAAAACATCGGTTAAAAAAACAACAACAGCAACATTTATTATTACAACAACCTCAAGGTCTGACCCTTACGGGTGAATCTATGATAGCGAATAATTATCCCGAATTAGATGATACGTATTCAGATCCTATAGATCTTATATCTCCTTTAGAAAATAATTCTCAACAGCAAAATAATACAAATTGCAGCAGTCATGACAATCTCAATAAGCGACATCAATCAAAAAATTTTACTGCCTCATTCGATGCTATTGAAAAATATGATGAAAGTATTGATGATACATATGCTTTGCCTGTCAATGTAAAACATAAAGATGAATTGAGTGTATTAAGGGATAAAAAACCAAAACTGCCAAAGCCTAATTCAATACACGAGCTACCTAATCATATAACAACAATTAATTCAGAATTCATGCCGAAAGATAATGTTGAACATTCACTAGCAAGAGGATCAAATCATTCAAAAGGAAATTTATCGAATCCTACAACACCCGTTTGTAATGAAGGTAATGGTATATTACCAGAAATTACTACAGATTCATATAATCGAAAGAAAAAGGAGAAAAAAGACAAATGTACTCATCAATAGTTATAAATATACAAAAATATTTACGAAGTATTTTATAATTTAAATATTTACTTAATTTACTAATAGTGGAATTTTTTATACTGTAATAAAAATACTATTATACAATATAATATTTAACTTTATGATAATGAAATAAAGATTATTATTAAACTTTTGTTTAAAATTTTTTTGGGTTTCTTTTATGCAAAAACCTTTTTGAAAAAGCAAAGGAGAAATATAATTCAAAAATCAATAAATTAAATTTAAAGAATTGTTCAAAAGCAATTCTAATAAGCAATATTTTTAGCGTTTTAGTTTATTTTTCAAAATATTTCTTATTTCAATAAAACATTAAAATTTTATAAAAAAAAATAGAAAAATTTACAAAATTAGTAAATGGCAGGATATCTTGTAAAATATAAATAAACTATTGTTCACTTTTTTTTAATTAATTAAAAATTAATGTTACGATGAAGCTTCCATATGCCTATGAACGGTAACTGGTGCCAGTATATGATGTGGGGACATTTGTTGTGGTAATATAGTTTGCTCTAAAATTTGTTTTGTTAATGCTGGTGAATTATTGCCTATACCAGAGGAAGTTGGTGAAGAACGCTCATTATATTTTAAATTAAAGTCTTGATTTCTTTTAGATATATTTGCTTTGTTGCTATCACCTTGATTTGTGGGACTTGATATCGATGTACTTATAGACATTGAATCAGCTGACATTGACAAACGTTTATTTGTATTGATCAATGGTTCTACTAAAGTGAAACACATGTCTGAATCTTCATGTGGAGTCATCGTTGAATAACCATTATCTGATTCCCCATTTGGTCGTCGATATCCTCCCGACGACATATGATAAGGTGATATTTCAGAAACAGCTATTGAATTTGCCAGTGGATGAATTAAATTTTTGTGTAAAATATGAGATCCATTACCACCAATTATATCATCATCACCCAATCCATTATTTCCATTACAATCATCGTAGTTAAATCGAGATAATGGAAGACCGAAATTATCTTCCTGTATAGATTCTGGATACAATTGGTCAATACTACTATCTAAATTTTGGCGATAACAGTACATTGCAAAACCCACTACTATACACAATGCTATTATTGCCCCACCTACAGGTCCAATAGCAGAATACGCTGGTTGGCTGACTGACTCAACAATAGCAGCTCCAATATCATTATCGCCATATGGTGTCATTGCCCCCAAAACACCATTAAAGCAGGAATTTTGTGTAGTACAAAACGCAGAATTAAATGGATTCCCGTCAACATCTAACTGACACCATTCACACCCCATTATTCCAATACATTCGTTTTGACTTGAATATAAATCGCAATTAATGTTTATACAAGCTTTTAATACGGTATTCCAATCATAGCTCATTGAATTTACAACGTCTAAGCCTTCAATTGGTGGTTCACAATAATAATATGATGCAATATTTGAAAAATCACTGTCGTTACTACTTCTATTTATAATATTCATTGATATTTCTCCGTTTTTACTAAATTTTAAGGGACATTCACAAGGACATTCACAATCTGTTTGATCCATTCGATTACAATTCAAGCATACACGATCCACTGTACTACACGGACAAAATGCACCACCATCTCTTGTTGAATTTAAGACAGCTGCAAATATATTTGTACCTGGTATTGTAGTTATTTGATATTTCGTCCGATCGCCATGCACAACGTTAGTGAAAATTTCCGTTGAAGATATATTATATATGTAATAACGTTCGGATGTTCGATTTTGATAATTGGCACATATTTGTTTACGAACTAATTGCTTATGGTTTAAGATGTCATTAGCAACAAAAGATTCTTTATGTGTTAGATGTTCTTTAGGTCGACGATGATTTATTGTAAGAGTTGAAGGTTCCATGAAGGATGGATGTCCTAGTAAGTATCCATTATCTTCTATTAAAAGACATTTAATATTTCGCTCCGAGCAAAATAATGTCGAATCAATTATCATTCTATAAAAAAAGGCATACGGTACATCAACAGCAACTATAGCTGCTGGAATATCTGTATCAACATTATGTAAAGCATTTGATTTTCCTTCAAATATTGTGTGAGCTATTGTAACAATAAAACCGGCACCACCTTAATTTATTTCAAATAAAAACAAATAAGAAATCATAAAGTTTCGTTACTGATAATATTAACAATTTTTTTACCTGCATCTAAGTATGGTTCGGTAGAAATAATTTTTCCTGGATACTTCATTGCCTTACGATACCAAGGACGTCTTGAGGGCTCTAAGTCTGTACCCAAAATACATCCAGGATATATCTGAGTTACACCACTAGTAGTTGTAACATATCTTCTAATTATGTATTTTTTAAATTCCCCATTTTCAAGATGTCTTTTCTTTAAATATGACATTACATGGTAAAGTGTCGCTACATCGTTACGGATTCTTGAAAGTAATCCAGGATTGGCTAACAAACTTGTACTGTCTTTAATATATGCCATAATACTTTGAGCAGTATGAGTTCTTATACTCTCCTTATGTTCGCGTGTGTTTTTTAAGTAAGTAAAGGGAGATTGAAATGCTGACGCACTTAGAAAAACTGTTCCCGTTTCTTAGAAATATTAAAATAATATAAAAAATAAATATTTATATTGTCATGACCACCAATAATTTTTACCTAACGTTGCTATTTGCCGAAAATGTCTACATATTGGATTTTTGGGCGGAACTAAATCAAGTCTGTGATATAATAAATCCAACGGTAACAAATGTTCCGATTGTTGATAATTTGAAGTTTTGGCTTGTGCTTTTGAATTTTGTAAATTAAAATGAAGTCCATTAGATTTTGAAACTAAACAAATAATATATGCATTTTGAATTCTTTTCCAGAAATAAATTTTCTACAAATTAAAAAAATTTGAATATTATAAATAAATTAATATTTTATGTAGTTGTTATCTACCGTAATATTATCTCTCTCAATATAAGATGCATTTCCATTTTCGATCAACAAAATTTGTTCTTTAATACTTTCTTTAAATTCTTTAGAGTTTTCTAGTAAACCAATATCTACTTCATAGGTGTTGCTATGTAAAGTAGTGGGTCTTGAAAACGCTGGGTGAGAAATGGTTATTCCTTTAACATCTATCATAAATGCATATTCAAATTCAGTGTTTTTGAAATATATTATATCTTCAGCTAAATCCGTTAAGTATAAGTTTAAGCCAATAACACCAAAACGTTGTATTGAACGTGTCATTGAAACTATAACTTCTAAAATGTAATCAATTAAATATTTAATTGTAGAATGATTTTTTCATTAAATAGTATATACCTCTTGTACTGTAATCATAAATTGGTAAATGATATTGCAATTCATTTTCAATATAAATTAAATTTTCAGTATTATCAGTACGCCAGTTTCCTAAAAACAAGTTTTCAAAAACTGCAGTACTAATTTTGATTATTCTTTCTGGATGTCGCTTGGTTATAACATATAAATTTCCAGTTAAATTATAAAAATCGTAAATATACCAACTGCTTACATCTATATCATATTTTGTATAATTTTGCTGAGCAATGTCCCTTAAAAACTGTTTTTCGTACATAATTCGCCTTTCATCTACGTTTGTATGAAATATTAAAAATTTTAATCATTTTAAAATTTTAAAAATATTTTACCTAAAACGATTGCGCAAGTATTTATTACAACAGGGCTATTAAGACTACTTTGTCCTTTCGCAATAGTAGCAAGAACATTAACTTTATCTGTAAGCTTGTGTAATAAGCCTCTAGTTGCATAAAGAAATAGTAGAGGCTTGAATTCGCTAAAATTTTGCTTTTTAAGTAATTCAAATGAATACTCGAAACCTCGGGAATGGTTTGTTAAAGTGGATGTATAATTTAAATTTTCAATAAATTTCGAAATTTTCCTTTTCCCATCAATATCAGTTTTATACATATAATTGTTATCATTTGCAATAGTCTCTTCGTTATCCAATATCATAGGAGAAGCTTCGTCCGATATTAAAACTATAGTTATAGTATCTGTATTAGATAGCATTTTTAAAATATTTTGAACTAAAATTAAAAATTAAAAATTAAAAAAGGAAATTTATTTCGAACCAAAATTCTGTATACCAAATAATTTAAGTAATTCCAATTGCTCAAAATTGAACGCATTACCATTGTCAAGTAAAAGGAAGACATGCTTCTTCTTAATTGCGGACACATATAAATAACGAAAATGTAAATCATTAAAATAATACTGGCATTGATGATCACTAGCATGATCACTACTTGATAAAAAATATAAATGCTTTATATGATTTGCTTCCATATTAAAAGTATTAAATTCTTCAGTAATTTTTGTATTTGCAATATAATTAACATCACCATCTTCATCTATTTCTCTTCCATTACTATGGGAACCAAAACTACGATGATCATTATTTTTTAAATAATTTAAAACCTGTATTTCATGTTTATTATAATTTTGCTGAAGAGAAAAATCTTCGAAAGGACATGGTTGGATTAATGTATTCAAATATAATTGTTGATTTGTTTGCGTTTCAAATTCATCTTCTGTTTCATCCTCATTTTCTTCTAAAGATATATTTGTAATATTTTTAACAAAAAAATTGTATAGATGTGTTATAACATGAATAGCCTTTTCCAATTTTTTTGATAAACGATATGATATTCTTTTAAGTTTATCACTTTTATCTTGTTGATTCTGGACCGTGAAGTCCATAGCATCAAAAATTTCCTATGACAAAAAAAAAAAAAATTGTAATTTTTTAAAAGAATAATTTTTTATATTTTATTACCTGTATGGTAGCAACTCCTAGTTCATCATTTCTAATACTTTTTAAACGAATTTGTAAATTTTTTACCAAATCTAAAACATTATATTTGTTATTTTCTGTTGTATTAGTTTCTATTATTTTACGCGTTATGTTTTGATTTAATCCTAAATATTGAGAAAAATGCAATTTGGTATTTGTTTGTCCAATTGTATCATGTATATTTTTAGGAAATTCCGAATTTATTATAGTAACAGTATGATTTAAAAATTCATCAACTTTTATTTGTTTTGGTTTTAGAGACAATTGTAATAAAGGCACTTGATCATTATAATTTAAAAATTTACTATTATTGAAATTGTCTATAATCAATGTAGTATTATTGTAATTTGATTTGGAATTATTGCTAGATATGTAATCGGAAGTTATATTACTTAACATAGGAACGTATGTACTTTGATTTTTAAAGTTAATATTATTTAATAAAGAATTAATGTAATTATTGTTATTACTGGAAGCTGCGATTTTCTCAATAGTAGTCATATTAAAATTTTCATTTTTTTCAGCTGCAAAACTATTAATGCTGCATATTATACACAAAACAAATATGTGTTGAAATAAAATAATATAAAATTTTTCCAAAATTTGACACATTTTTCTTTTACATTTAAATTTATACTATATATACATATATGTAGGTGGTAAATGAATAAAAAAAAATCTAAAATTTATCTTAGAAATCTATTGTATGGCTTTTATCTTAATCAATTTCCTGCAAAAAATAATTTTATTGAATTCATTTAAGAACACAAATATGAAAAATTTTTTATTCAAATTTACCTTAAAATGTATTTCTAGTCTAATTTGTTTACATTTTTGTTGTACTGTTTAAAAAAATTCTCAAATTTTACAAATGTTCGATATTTCTTCTTGCAACTTTTTTCATTCATTTTGCAAACTTATATGGCATATAAATGTATTAAATGAAACTTGATGAAAATTTTCAAATTAAAGAAAAATTAGACTTAAATTTAAAATATGAGCAAGCAGATATTTAATATTATTTTTAAATGCTTTTCCACAAATTTTTAATATTTTTCTGTCTGCTAAATAAAATGAACTGTGACATTTGAATTAAAAATGACACATTTTCTGTGTTACCTTCGCTGAAAGAGAAATGGTAAAAAACGATTCTACTCCTTTTAGAAAAAAGTTTTCTTATGGAAACTTCGATTCTTAGTTATTGCAAGTTTATTTTATTGTACTGGATAAAAACATCGATTTTTGTTTTTCTTAGAATTAAATTTTTATTTTATTTTCAAATGTTTTTTAAACTTACCTTTCTTTTAAATACATAAGGTCCCGATTTTACGTCGTAAAACAAACAAACGTAGAAAATCGAAAAATTAAAAAAAAAATTATATACTTATAGAACATAATGTAAACAGAACATTTTAGAGGTAAAGAAAAGAAAGTCTTTAAGAAAAATATCGTAAAGTGCAGCTCGATTGTCCTTGGAATTCTTCTACACATAGTCCGGGTGCGGATCAGACAAAATGTACAATTTCCATTGGAAAAAAACAATTCAAACACAGCGCTAAGGACGCACGCGTCCAATACTAACAACCTTTTAAAAATAAGGCTAATTTCATACAAAAAATAAAGCAACACTTATGACCTTTTTAAAAAATAAATTCTTAATATACTTTTTATTTTTATTAATATCACGGTACTCCCAATATGTGATATAGATATATGTACAAAGTAGTGCGAAAAAAAGTTGCTGCGAGAAAATGATAGCAGGCAAAACTTTTGCCTTTACTTTTCCTGCTATTGAAATTTTATACGGCACTTTCTAGATCTTTCTGCTTGTTATTGAAGTTTATTCTGAGCATTAATATGTATGGAGATCAAGAACAATCAAATAATGGAAACAAAGATATTTTTCAGCCTATAATATCCTAAAAAATCAATATTAAGAAAATAAATAAAACTCTTCTATATTTATGCTACATTTTTTTTTTATTTTATTTTTTTAAAACAATATAACTATTTAATATATGTATATCACTGAAAAAAAAAAAAAAAAAAATTTGATTTCTGAACCAACCACTGACTTTTCTACAAATTGGAAAAATTGCTTGTACATGCAAAAAAAAAAAAATACCAAACCATCCCATTAACCAAATTTCTTAACGATTTGGCAATATGAAGGTAAACAAATAACCCATAATATATTTTGTGTAAAATTTTACGGTAAAATTGTAAAAGGGAATATGTACATTCCGCACTTATTGCAAGTATGAACCATTAAAGTAAGAAATTAAGAATTTAAAACTTACCATGTCAGACCATTCATAAATATTGAGTTACTTTCTTTCAAAATTTTAAAGTGAATTAAAATTTTTAACTACCATTATTAAGAACCTGAAATTTTTTTTTTTACTCATATTTAAACATTTAAAATATTGGAATTGTAAATGCAATTTTAAAATATTTTACAAGAAAATTTTATAAAATTACTTTTACTTTTATGAATCTAAAGAATCATAATATAAAAATAAACACTAAAATTTGATTGTTTAGATTCTAATTTTGTTATTCTTTTTAAATAATTAATTTAATGATGAATTAAAATATTTAAAATAATATTTTGATTTAATGTTAAAATATTGAAAATGAAAGAAGATATTTATAAGCTAATTTAAAATTTAATCAAAATTTATTTAAAAAAATTAAAAGACAATTGAATTTGTTTTAATTTTTATTGTATGCGAATATATTCTAAAAATTAAATAAGCAATTCACTTTTGCGAAGTCCAGTGATTTTCCTGCAAATACATGTCATTCTCATACTATATTTTTTTTTTTTGTTATTTTAGTCTTTATTTTTTAAATTTTCATAAAATTTAATTAATAAAGTATTTTGTTTGCTAAATTTGTTTTGTATTATTATTTATTTTTTCCATTTTGTATTCTATTTTTGTTTAAATGAATACATTTTTGAATTGATTTCTCAAAGTGAGAAAACTAATTGAAATACTTTAAATTTTTCTTTTTAAAATATAAAAAATATTTAAATGTTACTTGGTTTTTTTTTTTGGTTTATTTTTTTACCAAAATAAAATTATAATCAATTTTAAAAAGACAATAAAATATTGTCTGTTTAGTTATTTTTTAATTAAATGCGTGTGATTTAACATTTAACATAAATTTTTTTTTTACTTAATAATTTTGATTCTTAACATTAGAAGCCGTAAATTAAAAATATTACTTCAAAGCAAAAGACAAAAATTGATTTAAATATTGCAATTAATGTTTTTTAATATAAAATGTTCTTAAAAAACTTGCATTCTACTTAAAAAAACTCTAAAATATTGTAATTTAATTTTGGTTCTGGTATAATTTATTTATTTTTTACATTATTTAAAAAATATGAATTGCCAAATATAAAATGCAATTAAAAAATAAATTGCAAAATATTTTTTTTATTTATTTATCAATAGAATTGGAAAAATATTAGGTATGTTGCTTCTATTTCATTTTTTGTTGGCAATCATTTTAATAAAAGGAAAAAAAATATGATCAAAAAACATTTTTAAATTACAAAATATTTTAAATATAAATAAGAAAATCATTTTAAATTATATTTGTATATCAAGCAGCATTTTTTTAACAATTTATTTCGCTTTTGTTATTTTTTTTAAAGAGAAATTAATATAAATTTAAATATAAAAACTATTTCTAAAATATAGGCAATTATTTAAAAAATAATATTTTATATTCTCTGTACAGGTTTTTAATATTGTCGGAATATTTTTAGTAATATTTATTTAAAATATATATTAATTTTTAGTATATAATATGTATATATATATATATATGTTTGGTAAAAAATAAAATTATATATGTATTATGTATATCAAGGATATGAGTATGAGGATATGATTGGAATTTTCATTGCGTTTTAATATAAAAATCTCCATTATTTCTAAAATACAGGAACTAAAATCCTTAATTTCATTCTGACGAAAATTTATTATTTACTATAATTCCTTAAGCCCTACTAGATTTCTAAAAAAGACGGATTAGAATTGTTTGAATATAATTATGTATTAAAAATGTGAAAATATATCTAAAATAAGTAAGTAATATTAAAAAGTCGAAATTGTAAAGTAAATAAACATTTTCATTAGAACGTGTAGGTATTTTATTTATTTACTTTTCTTGTTTTGTAATTTTCTTTTATTTTGCTTTAGTTTTGTTGTAAGCCTTAATATTAAGAAATAGTTTTTATATATACTTTTCATTTTCTTTTTCATTAATTTTATATTAATTTTTGGAATTTTGTTTGTGGTATAGTACAAAGTTTAAATTGTTAAAATTTGTGAAAATAAATATTTTGTTAACAACAAACAAGGGGAAAATCAGTAACACAAAAATGAATAAACAATTTCAAATGATTGTGGTGGGATTTTGTAGCATCTTTCTGCTTATAATGCCATCTTAAAAATATTTTAAGAGATTTTCCTTAATTAAAACAAAGGACATGGTTATAAAATTTGTCCTATACCAGGGGATTGAGAAAAAAAAACAAATTTCCAAAAATAAATACAAAATTTTCGCTTTTCAACTTTGCAAGAATATTTTTTTTTTTCAATAATTTTTCTTGTTTTCCTTTTTATAAAAAAAGAGAACTTATTTTTTACTAAAATTAAAAATTTCTATTTGGTTTCTTAGTTTTTTTTTTGCTTTATTTTTGTTTAAATAAATATTAAATTAAAATTATCGAGCAAATTAAAATAATAATTTTACTATTTAATTAATAAATTTGATTGTTCACGTAATTATTTCTATATATTTACATATATAGGAGACTATTTAAAATTTCTTATATTTTAATTGGTAACGAAGAATGATATTTAATTTACTCACGACATTAATTGTTTTATTTTCTTTTCTTTTTTCAAACTAATTAGTTTTTTTTTTACTAAATGTGCAGCCAAAAGGAGGCTTTTCATTAATATGTAGCTTTCTATAATTTTTATAAATTTTCATAATGTTCTCTTCAAAGGTTTTTTTATCATAGTTTTATAAATTCTTTAAATTTTTCAATAAATTTAAGTTGATGCTGCTGTATTTGCATTTTTTTCACCTTTGTCCGACTCGTTTGTATTTGTTTCATTATTAGAAACCTGTAAAAAATTATTTTGGCAAAAATATTTTTTAATAATCAAAATTCTTTTTCTATGGTAATTTTTTTTTTTTTAAAGAAAATTTTTAAATAATAAGGATTTGCAGGAAAAATGGAAAAATAAATTATTTCATTTAACTATAAGTTTTTTTTAAGTGTTGTGGTCTAACAGGTATTTTAAACAAAAAATACATACAGTACCTATTCATATATTCAATTTTTTTTGTAAATCTTCCCTTTTTAAACTCATTATTGAATTCAAAATGAATTCATCAACTGAATTTCTCTGGCCTAAACTGCATTTTACATCATTTTAACCTCCCCGCTGATATTTTCTTTTGATTAATTCATTTAATCGCAAGTCTAATCAATATTGTTATAAGAAAAATTATTAAGAATATTTGCATTTCATTCAAGTGTTTTTTTTTTTCACTCCTCCTTAATTTTGAAAGTTTTTGTTAATTAATAAAATTTAAATCACCTAAAATATTTAAAAAAATTATACACTTTTATTTACCTTTTGTTGCTTTTTCTTTTTATCCATATGCTCCTTTTTGGCTGCTTCATACATTGCGACAAATTTATCGCGTTGAACTTTAAACTCAGCAAATAGTTTATCATCCTTCTTTCCTTTTAGCTTACTTTCAATCTCCTCCTTGATTTTTGCTTCAGCTTTAATTTCATCTGTTACCCATGGTTTATCTAATGAATACTGATTAATAATTTCTTTCAATGTTTTTTTTGAACTTCCGGTTCTATTTCTTTTTGAGGAACGATTTTTGACAGGAGTTTGAGTTTGATTTCCTCGATTATTTGAATTTGTTTTTCTACCTTTACCTTTATTACCACCTGTCACATGTTTTCCTCTTCTCATAGATCCACCTATATTGGAGGGAGTATCATTGATAACACTGTTTCGCAAACCCATTCTTCGACCTGGCATTGCCCGTGGCGGTCCTCGCGGTGGACCTAGTGGTGGCAAAGGAGGTCCCATCATTGGCGGCGGACCCATAGGGCCTGGTCCCATTCTGGATGGCATAAAATTTGGTGGCGGTATAGGTGGCATAGGACCACCCATCATAGCAATTGGTGGTGGTGGCGGTGGTCGTATCCTTCCAGCACCCATGCGTGGACCCATTCTACTTGGTGGACCCATTTGTACAGGAGGTATTTGATTTCCACGATTGGAACTGGCTCGGTTATTTCTACTTAAATTTCCCTTATTTCCCCAATTACCTCCTCTAGAATTCGCTGGACCACCACTATTTTGTCGCAATTTATGACCTACGCCATTCCCCATTCCTCCTTGATTTCGTTTAAAGTGACGTTGTTTATTACCTTTTGTATTACTTCTATTATTAGAATTTGACGGGGTTTGCAATGGATCATTAAAGTCCAAATATCCGGGATTGTCTGGAATTTGAGAAGTCTGGAACAAGTTTGCTGCTCCCGCAACACTGGCCATATTAGGTTTAAATCTTTTGTTGGACATTTTATTTCCTCCAGAAATACCACTTCCGCCCCGACGCTTATTTCCAGCTTTTGGAGTTACCATTGATATATATTAATTAAAAATACACACCAGTTAAATAAAAAAATATTTTAATTTTCACAATATTCAAAATGTCTGCTGAGCTGAAGACTTTTGTACCTGCACGCAGAAAAATATGGGAATTCGTTGAATTTCGTCAAAATTCAATATGTATATCATATGTCAAATTAACCATATGTTAAAGTCGGCTAGTGAAACGTCATTTCAACAGTGGTGAATTTGTGAAAAAAAAAATAATTTTGTTACTTTCAATATCTAATAGTAGATGTCACAATCAATCAATTTTTACAATTCAACTTAATTTTTTTTTAAATTTCTGTGCCCTATAGTGATACACCTGAAATATATATAATTCGGGTAGTCTCAAAAATAGCGATCAGTCCGCCTGATTTAACGGGCCGTCAGCCATCACTTCTTAGACTCTCTTTGCATACTGGGTGCCGCTGGATTTTTTTAATAAAAAAATTTTCCTTTTGGGGGTAAACCGTTTTGGTATTTGATGTCAATTAACGCTAAGTAGACTTTTATATAATGCATAAAAATGCTATTGTTTTCATCAAATTGACTTTTCTTACATATACATACATACATACATGTGTGTAATTTTGTAGCTATTGGTTCCAATATTTTTTCTGAAGTGAATAAATAAAAAAAAATTATCTTTGCATCAGTTTTTAGAGTATGTTTTATTTGGTAATACTAAAGTAGATCTTTTGTAGATCTGTCGATCGACTTAAAACAAAAAATATGTACAAATCACTCAATTTTGAAGAAATATTTTAATTTAAATTAATTTTACTAAAGAAGTATTAAACAACTCATCAATTTTTATGAATTTTAATTTAAAATTTCAACTATTCAGCTATATCTACACTAACATCAACATTGCTCAAAGAGCTTAAACTACGGGACAATGTTGATTCACATGAGTTTAATTGGTCTAAATTATAATATTCAACGACTTTTGTTGGAGGTTTATTGTACATAACTTCTGTTACTTGGGTAACAACCCATTTGGTAAATTTAATAACAGCAACGTGAGCAGCAAATTGAAGTAATAAAGCACCAAATCCTTTATATAAGCCAGATATACCTTCAGTGGAAATTGTTGTACGATAACAATCAATAGCACCTTCATAGTTCGTTAAAATAGGAACTACAGCGTAACCATTATCTAAATTATCAACTATAGTTCGAGTTCCTTGTAACTGTAATCTATGAAGTATGGTTTCAAAAGGATAGAATATGATTTCACTTGTAACCACAGATATTAATGTTGAATAAATTTCTACATTTTGATTATAAAGTGATTCATCTCTAAACTTAGCCCCTTTTTGTTCTTGTACGGCGTTTAAACGGCGCCTCATAATTCGAGAAGAAATTCCTTTAATAATTAATCTGAAAATTGACTATTTTTAGTAAGAGGTATAATAAAGTAGTTTAAAGATCATACCCAAATAAATATTTTGTTATGCCTAATCCAACAGTGGGACCCACTAAAGCCCAACACGGTAACATTCTTCCACGTTGTGGTACACTCCAAGACGCTAAACGAGCAGCTCCTTCGCGAAACACATCAAACATACCAGGTTTCTCACTAGCTATATCACTTTGTACAGTTTCTACCAAAGAGGCTGAGTAAAATGGCATCACCACTGCAATACTTACGCTAAAATGAAAATTCGATTTTTTTATTGCTTCTTTCTTATTTTAACCACGACTTACCACTTCAATAAAATGTGTTGACCAAACTTTTTCATTGACGTTCGATTATTTACATCCCTAATTAAACAAAATGAATATTTTCAAAAAATTATGATTAAATTTGTAATTTTGATAATTGTTTTTAAAACTGAAACTTTTATTTTATAACAGTTACTCTAAAGAGTCATTAATACAAGCGCTTCTACTTCTACCTCAACCGTTAATGTTACTTAACATCAAACATCACCATAATCATAAACTTACCAACTTGTTTCATAATCAAGAGATGATGTCTGAGAGGGCCATTGGCTAAAATTTGTAATTTAGAGTTGAATGAAAAGTTTTTTTAGTTTATTAATTAGATTATTTGAAAGAAAAACATGATGTAGAATATATTATATAGATGCAATTCTTGTTAGTTTTCATTCACAAATGGAGTGTGTTAGAAATTCAATTTGAAATAGTTCACTTGTTATTCTTTATACAATAATTTTAGTTAAGATTGAAGTAATTAGGGAGGTTACTATATTTTTCATTTGTCCGATAATTTGTACCTTATGAGGATAATGAACAATGCACTTACTTTGGCCACGGAGTAATTTTAGAAATTACGTCCTCCACAGCTAATGACATTCCTCTAACCAAAAGGCAACTTCCAAGACCTTTCCATAAAGTGGTAACACCTTGTCTTTGATGTAAATGTATTATTGCCGGTACTAAAGTAAAAGGTTGCAAATGATATCTGAAATAGTTTTCTCTATAAAAATGGAAACTTTTCTCTTCCATATAAATAATAAACCTAGTTGAATTATGATGAACTTGACATTGTCGTCTTAGAACTACGAATGGATGGCTCAAGAGATTTTCTGTTATCAAACTTACCAAACCGACGCTACTCCCTAAGTATTTGCGCACCGAAATTTCTAAAAACGAAAATTGTGTAATATGAAAACTAAATGTCATTCAAAATTTTCAAATCAATTTGGTAGGTACCATCTTCTGGACTTTCATAATACTGCTGAATATTTTTATGCTTTTGTAAAGGTAACGACAAATCTCTTTCAGAACTGACATAACGATAATTTGGGTCCCCAGGCTTAGACGATGACAATGTTTGGTCATTGCGATATGTTGTACTGTATTGTAAATTGTGAGGAATTTGATCGGGTTGATCGAAGCCTCGACTTGGGTCATCTACGCTATACCTGAATAGTGAAATAAATATATTAATTTTTCTTGGAAAAATATTTACTAACATAATTACATAAGATCGGAATATTCCTTAATACCGGCCATAAGTTTTTAAGAATTTATTTTGAAAAACCTATTGTCTAATAAAAAATAATTGAAATATGAAAGAAAAATGTTCTGCTGAATAACATATGGTAATGACAATTCCTTTATGTAAATTCTTGTGCCATCTGGAGGAATATAAGAAAAGTTAAAATGTTAAGAAACATGAACCGAAATAAGTAAAAACTTTTGTAAAATAATATTAACTTGCTTCATTAAATTAGTAGGTACAGGAAAATAAAAAAGTAAATGGCAAATAATTTTTTAAAGTTGAGCGAATTTTTTAAAATATGTGTATTGTGTAATGAATCGTCATCGTCAATGCGGTGATTGATTAAAGATATTTATTTTCGCATGGCATTTTGTAAAATGTCAAAAACGGCGCTAAAGTAAGAACTGTCTTCAATAAACCAAAAAGTGAAATATAAATAAAAACATTGTTATTTTGATACTCCCTTGTAAATTAAGGGAATTTCCCAGATTTTCTTTTTTCAAATCGTAGTAACTTACCTCGAAATAAAATAGGATAGTGACTGATATAATTAATTAATTTATAGAATTAGTAAAAATAGTCAATTATAAATTATAAATCATGGAAACAATGGGTCCTTCTTCAAAAAGTAAAAACAATATTCTAAGTCAAATACAAAATCTACACTCAGAAGATTTACCTTACCTCGAACGAGATTTATGTTTTGCCGAAAAAGTGAGTATGTTCATATTTGTAATAATTGAGTAATGTATCATTTACATGTTGTGAATTAAAATTTGCTTGATTCTATAATTTTGTAAAGATTAGAAGAATGTATAATATATTGCACTGTTCGACATGCTGAAATTTTTTCTGAATAATAGTAAAACAATTTAAATTAATGTAATCCTATGTACCTACATACATACATACATATATAAATATGAGTAAGTTTACACATATTAGATGTATCCGCAGTATACATAGTATACGGATACATCCGTATCCGTATTCATATACCCAACTGCCTGCATACATATGCATGTATGTATGTAAATATTGAACATAATTAACTTTGAAATGTTTTAGGTCTCACTGGCGTTTTTACTTTTTGGGAATACCAAAGCTAATAATTTATTCGCCCTTCAAAAGCTATTAGCTCTTTATATGAATCAAAACCTAGTTTCAGACATACTATTCAACTTTACTAGAGAAAACAAAAAAAACTGGAGATTCTGTTTAATAGAAGCATTAGCAATTATTAAAGCTCATAAAGTTCTTAGAAAACTGGGCGTAAGCAAATATGAATATGAAATTACATTTTTACCATACAGACCAGAGACCAGTTTATCAATCCATCCTGTACTAAAAGCACTGTATTTTGTATGCGAAAATCTTAGTCAATCAGAAACGCAAGCTCTATTGTGTGAAGTAAGAAGACAAATACCAGGCAATAATTTCAATTTTTCCGATTCATCGTTTTTAGAAATATTTTTGTTAGATTGGATGACATCTTCTATTATTGAAATAGGAGAATGGCCTGATGATAATAGTGGCTCTAAAAAGCCTAATATGAAAATAATTACAAATTTTTTAAAAGTTTACGGAAAGGATACATTAAAAGATATCCTGGAAAGCGCTTGTAAATATGTTAGCGAAAAGAATGAAAGGAAAGAAGATGCGCGTTTAGTTAATGATCTTCGAAATTTAAGTATTCAGTCTCAATATTGCGTACCAACAGCAGAATCAAGTTCCTCATATCAAAGTGGAACTGAAATTGATTATGCTGAACATGATATTTACAAACTCGAACGTGGAAATGCTGGATTTGCTCTGATTATCAATCAATATGAATTTTACGAAGAAAAGGATCCTAATTTAAGGGTGAATATTTTTCAATTAAAAATACTTACATACATATTTAAAAAAAATTTATATTTAAAAAATTTCAGAATCTTTTGCCTGAGAGTCCATTTAAAAATCGGGAAGGAACAATGAAGGATAGGGACGCGCTTAAAGAAACATTTGAAAAATTTGGCTATATATCACAAGCAAAAAATAATCTTACACATAATGAAATTTTAGCAATTATACGAGATTATGTAAAAAAGTCTATAATATTTGATTCATTAATTATTTGTATCTTAAGCCATGGTTTAGAAGGTAAAAAATACAATAAAATTGAAAAATTTTTAAAATTTGAAACCAATACTATTTTTAAGGTGTTGTATATGGATCTAACAGTATACCGGTCAAAATAAACGATATTGAAGAAATACTTGCTTCATCAAAAGAATTATATAAAAAGCCTAAAGTATTAATAATACAAGCTTGTCAAGGTACACAAATGCAAGAAGCAGATACTTTAGAATGTGATTCACCTATGGAATATCTAAAAGCTATTGGACTAATTAAAAATGAATCAATAAAAAATTATTCAAAAGAAATAAAAGCAAATAAATTGTTCCTTGGGGATATATTAACTGTGATTTCTACAGTTCCAGGGTATGCATCATTTAGAGATAAAGGAACAGGGTCTTGGTTCATTCAATCGTTGTGTAAGAAAATTAATAACTTTGGACATAGGTATTTTAATAATTTATTTACATTTTTTTTTCTTTGATATATTGTGATATTAATTTCGACAATATAATTTCAGAAAACATTTTCAAGATATTGTAACAGGTGTAATTAATGAAGTATCAGGAATGAAAAGTAAACAGAATTTGTGTATGGTTCCTCAACAGAGATCAACATTAACAAAATCATTGTGGCTGCCTAAAATTTAACTGCAATAATTGGAAAGAGATTTAAGTATGTATATATTCCTTTAAATAAAATAGTAATCGCTTTTTTTTTTTACATAAATATAGAATTATTTATTTGGAATATATTTAATTTGCGGACTATTTTTTATTTTATAAATATACATAACATATACAAATATATGCTTTTATATATTACAAATATAACATTTTTTTTTTTTCATTTTATGATTAAGATATTCAGAATAATTTTTACTTTTTCCTTTAATTTGTTAATTTGAAACATTAAGCTATTTCTCATCAAATTAATTTAAAATTTTAATAATATAAACTTTAGAAACGCATACAAAAATATGTACATATATTAATTATATTTAAATATTATGGAGAATTGAAATATTTGTAAGTATTTGTGGTAAAATTGTATGCGTTCTTTTCAAATTTTAAAAAAGGAATACTATTTAGTATTGTGAATATAAAATAAATACAAATGTTTGCAATCTTTTAGTACATACAGTAACTTATTACTTTTTTAAATTTTCTAATTTGAAAAAACAAAAATTTTGAATTGGAACATTTTTTACATTTCAAATATAACTTTTACGTAGTTTTTTATTTACAAGAAATTTTCATTAAAAACAATTAGAAAAAATAATCCGAATTTTAAAAATTTTAATTTTTTTTTAATTATTCGATCATCATAGCACTTTCACTTCAATTCGATTTGATGCTTATCATTTTTTAAATTTCTACCTCAATTGATTTTTATTCAATTATTAAATTTAAATTTCAATTTCTAGCAATTTTTTTTTATGCTGGGACATTCTTTTGAGAAAATATTTTGAATTTTGTGTTAATTTAAAAAATTTATTACAAATATTTACAAATTATATTGGAAGACAACAAAATTAATTGTGAATCCACATTTTCTGCTTCTTATCTGGCATTTTAAAATGAGATAAAAATCAGTCTTGCTATAACTTTAAATAATTTACGATAATACGTAAAGGAAAAATAGTTTTTCACTGTATGAAGTAGTTATAGAAGAAATGTAAGATAAGTCAAAAAATATATTTAAAATGTTATTTTAAATTAAATAAGAAATTAATGATGAGTTAAGTCTATATTAAAATTTTGGCAGTTTATTGTTATAATAAAAAAGGATCTTAATATTTTTAAAATAATTAAAATTACTTTTCATTTTGAAAAAATCAAGTATAATGTCTAAACATACATAATTTTTCATTGTAAATTTAATAATAAATCGGAGTGAATTAAATTCGATAATTAGGACATTTATAGAATAAAAGTTGGATTTAATAAACTTTTGATATAAATTCTATTTAATTTTTTAAAAATTTACTCAACAAAATGATACTTTTGTACACATATAACTAGAATGATTTTAATAGTTTTATTATTTGATGTCAATGAAATTCCGTTAAAAATTAGAAGCAGATTTTTTTTCGGCAATTTTACATACATATATATATATATATTGCACAAAAATCTTATGTTTGTACATAATGTAAATTAGTTTTATATTTAAAAATGAAAAATCCTCTTACTTTAACTAAAATTAATATTTTTCGGATTTTATTTTACTTTTTTTAATTAATAAATGAAAATAAAATTTTTTTATTTGAATTTCTAATGGCTGGTTTATAATAATTTCAGCTAATTTATTTCTTTGGATATAAATGATTTTTTTTTTAGATTGATATAATTGTTTTTTGATTTTTTTTTTCTATTATGTTCTTACAATTTTAAGAAGATGTTATATGTAATTAAAAAATCGTTTTGATTTATCAACAAATATTTTATAAAAATTCACTACAAATATTAGCAGTATAAGAGCTTAATTACAATGAAAGAAATTCTTTTTTTTTTGTAATTTTTTTTTTTTAATTTAATGAATTAAATATAAAAAATGATATTAACAATTCGGTTTTCTATTAATTTTATTCACAAAAAACTAACTTATAAATCAAGTTTTGAATCGATTAATTTTAAAAAATTTTGAAAAATAGTTTAATCTGCATAAAAAAAATATTTTTTATTTGACATGAAAATAAAAAGCAAAATATTATAAAATTATTTAAATTAAAATTGATCTTTTATTTAGATTTAAATATTAGATACATTTAAATATAATAAAGATATTATGTTGATTAAAATGAGAGCTCTTTCATTGTAACTTGTTATTCTAAAGAGTATCATTTTCAGGTTAGGAGGTAATTGTTTCTTTCTTATTTACAATTATTTTTTAAGTACATAAATACATACCTATGTACGTACATATGTATATTGAATGTGGGATTTTTTTTTATTAAAATTTGTTTTTAATTTTTTTTTCCTAATATTTAATCAAGAAAAAAATTTCAAATTTTAAAAATTAAAGAATTTTAAAAACCAAATATTATACAATTACATATGTATAAACTCACAAACATTATGTTACAACAAAAATAATTTTTTTTATTTTATATAATTGGAATAATTACAAAATTTTCACTCTTTAAAATTTCATTTTCATTGGTAAATTTATAATTATTATGTTCATATTTTCTTTATAAGTATGAATTTATACAATATTTACTATTATTGTATTGTATGTATATATATATATGTACATATTTTAATTATGTTATAAATACATATTGCATAAATAACCCACATAGTACAATAATTTCATACAAATATAAACATTTTATTATGCCAATAGTTTAGATTTTAATTTTAAAAAATTTAGAAGATTTCAAATATACATAAGTATTAATGTCGGATGCTTTCTTAAATAATGATATTCTCATTATATGCCATACATTATTTTAGTACATTTTCATTAATAATTTCATTTATATATGGATGATGTGGTATCTTCTACACTAATTGTGTAAGATTATAATTAAAATTAAAATTTGAACAGAAGTTTAAGTATAAAAAGATTTAGAAAATATAACAAAGATATATTATTTATACAAAAGTTATTGTAATATTTAAAAAATTTCAATAATTCAATTGATCCGACATTAGGTACACACTGCACATTAGTGTTCATTTATAAACTTATTAATTTTAGTCTGGACAGTACAATAGAGTTAATGTATTTTGTAAGATATTATTACATTTTTAAAAATTTATTACTACAATGCCTCCTAAAAAATATTTTGGTTTTTTGCCTTTTCATTTAATGATAACTCTTTTTTTTTTTTAATTTTTATTATATAATATACTACAAATACAATATTTTTGTTTTGTTTTTGGTTTTTTTTTTAGCAATTTATGTTTATTTATTTATTTTTTTTAATTATTTAAATATATCTTTATATTAATATTATTTATACATCAAATATGTAAGTTTAAAGTAAATTTTATTTTTTTTTTGTTTATTAATTTTATAGTTTAAATATATTTTATTTTTTGCTTATCAGTTTTAAAAACTTTATTGTTTTAAAAATTTTTTTACTTCTTCTTTCGTTTTATAATTTTTTGATCAATTTTTCAGTCATTTTTATTTTATATAATTTAGTTTCTTATAATTGTGAACATAATCGTTTCAATTAAATTTTAAGTATTTTAAAAATGTTTATTGAAAATGTGGATATTTTTTCCAAAATAATGATTAAACTCACTCTTTTCCGGAATCAAATATTTATTTCAGCTAATATATTACATTTCGTTAGATATATACATACGTCCTCTATCAGTGTTCTACGCACTCCTCAAAAAGAATTCAAGCATATGTACTGCACGAAATACATGTATAAGTAGAAATAAATTTTCGGTTCCCAATTAAAAAGCAATTTTCTTTTAAAAATATAATTCATATTTAAAAAATAATGAATTTTTATGCATTTACACATAAAGAAAATGAAAAAAAAAATCATAGTACATAAATTTAAATAAAAGAATTTAAATAAATTCCAATTATCCATTTTTTATTATAAAACAGTTAATAATTGCATTAGCAAATTTTTTTTGTTACGAATTCTGTTATATTGGAATATGGTTATAATATCATATTTTTTGTAATAGTTTGTAAATAATATTAGTATATTTAAAAGTTTTATAAAGAGTTTATAATAATTTGAAACTATAATCTAAATTTATGAATACTATTACTTTTGAAATAAAAATTAAATTAAATTAAATATTAAAATGACTGATTATTGATACATTGTATAACAATATAATTATTAATATAATTATATTATTTTAATTTTAATTGTTTTTTTTTTATATTCCTACCTAATATAAAAATTAAGGGACTTGCAATATAAGTCTATTAAATTCTGTTGTATATACAACTATATTTTTATAACTACAATAATATTATACATACATATATACATATGTATACATTATTTATAAAAAAAAAATTATATAATTAAATAAGCTAAAATTATAAATAAAAAAAACAACATAATCTTTTGTTTCAATTTAAAATTGAATTTTTTTAAATAATTTGTTTTTCTTTATTTTTGTTTTATGTGTCATTATTATTTTATTTTATGAATTTTTTTTTAATTAAATTTCTACAAATCTAAAATTTTCTACAAATAATCATAAATATGTATATAGCTATTTATATTTATAAAATATTTATACATAAATGTAATTTATCACGTTTGTTTGTTAATTTTTTAGTTTATTTTTTTTTTATGTATTTTTTTTTTAAACAATTATTTTGTGTTTTATTAATTTTTCAAAATCGGGACTGTTTTATTTTTTAATTTTTTTTTTGTATTGTATTTTTTTAAATAGTATATAATTATTACTTATTTTAATATTATTACTTAATAATAATATTCCTAATGTCTATACATTATTTGTTATCCTCTTTCATTAACAATTTCCATTTTATCATTGATATCAGAATCTGGAATATGTGTAAAATGAGTTCTATCAGTTCTATCGCTACGCATTGAATTACGTTCATTTGAGCTATTTTTATTAATTGAATGTTCTGATGGTGTATCAATACCAGGTTGTATACGTTTTTGTAATGCTGATACATAATTCTAAAATTGAAAAAAAAAGAAATGTTAAAAAACAAATTAAATTAATTAAATTTAAGAAAGTAAAATTTTAATTTCAAAATTTAAATATGAAATATGTATGTATGTATAATGCATATTTTATAGGCATAATTTTTACAAGAAAAGTATTTTATTATTTTTATATAGTTAAAAAGAAATAAATTTAATTATATATATATTTATTTATTTATTTTTTTAATTATTTATATTGAACTCAAACAACATTTAATAAAATATTTTAATTTGTTTTTATTTTTAGGCATTGATTGAACTGAATTTTTCATTTCTGGTTTTCTTTTTTAGCAAAATGCACGGTTCTTCCAACGACAAATGAAATTTTTTATGTTAATTTTATAATAATATTGCCGAATAATCGAACATTTTGGGATAGAAACATGTTTTAAAGTAAATTTAATACTTAAAATTCAGTAACATTGTCAATTATAGATAGGATAATTATTTTTCTTTTAATAATTTTATAATTTAATATAGAATTCATAAGACTTTTCTGACAATAAACACTTTTAATGCTAAAAATATGCCATAATACAAAATAATTTATGAAAAATAATGGTTTTTATAAAAATTTTAAGATGTAAAAGGGAAAAAAATTTTTTTGATAATGATTTTTTAATTTTTTTACTTATGTGTGATGTTACAATTTAAAATATTTAAATTTTTTTTTTAATAAATAACAAATATGTTTGAACGAAAAAAATTAAAATAAAATAGGATATTAAAATTATGTAAAATGTCTTATGAAAAATATATAATGAAAAATAGCAAAATAAATTTAATACAAATTAAAAAATTAAAAAAGAAAAGGACAACAAAGTATTTTCTTGCCTGAATAGGATTAATACACAATCATATTTTGAATATATTTATATATATATATTATGTATGACTTAAAAAATAATGAATTTAAATATTTTTTTTTTTTGCATTTTGTATTATTATTGTCATTTTGTTATTATCTAATTATAAAACACTGAGTTCTCTACAGAAGTTTAAATAAATCATTTTGTAATAAATGTTTATATAAAATGGTGACATGTATTTGGAATAATTTTTTTTTTTGATTGGAAGATAATATAAATACAACAATGTAGTATAGATTATTTTTTAAAACAAAATGATTATATATGACAATTATTTTATTATTAATGTACAATTATAAATTTAGAAGAAATCGATGATTCTTAATTGTCTAAGGTATAAATATAGAATTAGGTAACCAATTTAGCGTTTTTAGCGTAGATAATGAATTTTTAATATTGTAAATGTAATGATATTTTTTATCGAAATTATACAAATTAAATACAGACAAATGAACCCTTTCCTTGAACTCTTGTTTTAATTGGACTGGACTACTTCTCTTGAAGTTTTTGTCCTTTAAACTATCCAGTTTAAATGTGGTTCAAGAAAAGGAAGTCCTCCGCTGTATATAAACAAAATGCTACAGGTTAAAATTACAATTATAAAATTTAAAACAAAGAAAAAAAATTATGAATTTACAAAAATTTAATATTTAGGACCGATTTCAAATCTACGACAACACCAAGGTATCATAATTTAGCTTCTTCTTTTCTTGTGTAATATATTTTATAAATATTAATAATTGTAATTTGAAATCAGTATGTTTTTCTAACTAAAATTTAAGCCGATATTACTTAAAATATCTAAAATATCTAAAAAACTAAATCTATATTATTTGTTTAATTATGTATATTATATAAATAATGTTCTGTGCATAATATATTTTTAATTTCTTTAAAAATAAAAATAAAATGCTTTTGCTATAATTTGATTAACTTTGTTAACAATAATTTACTTTTAACAAATATAAGAAATTTTAAGAGATTTAACCGTTTATTAAAATATTAGTAAAAAATTAGAATTTTTAATATTTAAATACTTATTTCTTTTATAAAAAAAAAGTAACTATAATAAAATTTTATTTTAAATTTTAGTATCATAAAATGTTTAAATGATTTTTTTAAACAATATAAAACAATTTCTTTTTTTAGTATAAATCAATATTAAATGTTATAACAAATTATTGTTAAAATATTTAAAAAAAATCATTTACGAATACGCTCAAATGGTTATATTTAATTCGTATGCTGTTAAAATTTGATATATTTATTTGATTTATTTTAATATTTTGTACAATTTTTTTTTTAAAAATTGAAAAAATTATATATTTGTTAAAGTGAATTGTATAATATATAATATGTTTTAATTAATCATTGTTAATATATAATATTCTTGAAGCGATAATATTATTAAAACATGTTGTTCAGCTATTATTGCAAAAAGCTTAGGATAGTGAGGAAGACAGGGTATTTATAGAAGAAAAAAAAAAAACTCATTTGCAGAAAATAATATTGCATGCAAAAAATTATTTTTATATTTTAAATGTATTCATGTTTTGAATAATTAAATTATTTGAAAAATTTCATTTGTCTTTCATATTTTTTTGTTCATGTAAATTTCATGCAAATGAGTAAAGTTGGAATAGTGCTATATTATTAATAAAAAAATAACGAAAAATTACAAATATGTAAACTACATTTTATTTTTACAAAAAAAAAATAAGCTGAATAATGAGTTTTTTTTTTTTTAATTTTAGAACACTTATTTTCAATTTTTTTTTTTAATTTTGTTTTCTTTTTACCTGAGCAACAATATTTTTGTACATTAAAATTTCATTTTTCATACAAGAGAAAACTGTATAATTGCTTACAGGTGAATTAAGTTGTAAAATTTATTATACGCTATATTTTTTTTTGAATATTAAAATGATTTCGTTTTTATTAAAATAAAACTCTTTTCTTCAAATACATACATTATTTTCAATATACACAATAATATACACAGTTTTTATTCATCTGTATATGAATGAGAAATCTGGAAATAATTTTATTTTAAATTTTTTTTTGGTTGATTTTTTGAAATATACACAATAATAATAATATTATGTTTCTGAATTAAACTATTCTAATATTATTCTAATAAATAGAACCAAAATATAAAACTATTGTACTAAATAATGATCTTCAACCATTTTTTTCTTCAGAATTTATTTCAGTTCATTAGAAATATTTGAAATATTGAATTTTATTATTTTTAATTAATCTTTTCATTTATTAATTAGAATTCTTTAACCGTGTTACATGTAATAAAAATTATTAGGTTCTTAAATGATTACATTATAAAATTATTTCTAAAATTAATTTAATCTAAATACTTATAAATTCATTACTGAATTTTCATATTTATTTAGGATTATCAAGAATTCAGAATTAAGATCACTAAGAATAAGGCTGAAGATCACTATATAACCTTCAAAATGCAACAATATATTTAAAATAAATTTAAATAAATTAATTAATTAAAAACCTAATTGAATCATATACTTATGTATATAATGTTTATTTTTAGTCTATCTACGCTATAATATAATGTGTGTTTTGTATATGTATTTCTAATATGTATTGCTAATATTTTAATAATATTTTAAAAAATTAAAAATGATTTATATTTAATTACTATATTTATGAATTTCTTCTCAAATTGTATATTTAAAAATGAATTGATTTGAATATTATGGTTTTAGCTAAATTTGGCAATTAAAAATAATTATAAGAAATTTGATGTGCGGCGAAAAATGTTAAAATGTATAACATTAATTAATTTTTTTACTGTTATTTTTGTTAAAAATTTTATGCTTACAGTTTCATCTTAATCTTATTTTTTTGGCTAGTAAATAAACTGTTTAGAATAATATTTGTGTTTAAGTTTTGTAAATTCCATTTGCAAAATTTTGGTTTGGCAAGTTGTAATTGAAACTCAGTGTAATAGAAATTTGACTTTATGTCTAATCTGTTTTTTTTTTTTATTATTATTGGGTTACACTTTTGAATTCGCCACTCTTATATATATTTTTTTGGTTTTTTCAAGTATTTTTATTATTTTACCACTTTAAATATATAGATAAAGTGTTTGTTTTCGAAATATTCGTATATTTTTGTTTAAACACAATTAAAAATGAAAATAAAAAAAAAGAAAATACATAATTGAAAAATTTAAATAAAAAATTTTATAATATTTTGAACAGGATATTCGAAGAATAATAATTTGTGAAACGTGTACTAAACTGAAAATAAATGCCCAATTATTATTTCAATTTCGAAAATGTGAACCATTCATTTAAATTTTGTTGCCTTAAAGAATTTAAATTTAGTATTGTGTTTATGGATCAATTATATATTTAAATTGTAATTTTTTTAATTACATATTCTTCGAATAAACTGCATTATGTTACTTTTAGTCAAAATACAATTAATCACACAAATAATTTGCTTACTTTATATTAGTAATATTATAATAGAATAAATAGTATAAAAATTCCATATAAAATTTTGTATATATATGTAGCTTACCTGTGATATAATATCACCTCTAGCTGTACGAACTTGATATAAATAACGATATTTTCGTTGTCTAGCTTCTTCTCTTGTTTCACGTGGCCTTGAATTTGATCTTGGTATTTGTCTTCTATATTGTATACGTTTTCTGTGATCAACACGCCAACCAGTAATGAAACATTGTACCATAACACTAACAATTGCTGCCACAGGCCAAGAACATAATAATACTCCACCCCAACATGGTGGAGGTGAAGGATTCGGTTTCATATTTGTTAACTAAAATTTTTTTAAAATTTAAAATTTTTGTTTTGTTTTGGAAAAATTCTTAAATTAAATATCGTACCCATCCTATTGTTTCTAAATTATGCATAAAAAAATCTACTGATGCCATTATCATTGCAGTACCAACTATGCTACTCGCTAATATTGTTACATATTTAACACAGCACAATGTCAACACAGCAAATATTATTGCTCCACCTATAATTGCCACATATAGTTCCCTTGTCTGTACGTATATAAATTAAAAATAAAAAATTAAATTTTGTTATTTGTTAACTTACTTAAAAAATAATAATTATAAAACGAAATTACTTACACCAAATTCATTATCAGGCATTGTTGCAACACATACAACCATTGCAATTGCAGCAAGTATTGCTCCAGCGAAAGCACTTACCTGTATAAGAATAATTTAATTTTTTTTAGAAATTTAATTATAATTTATTTACAAATTTTTTCAAAACAGTACTTACTAAAGCTGACGCCACTGGGTGAGCTGAACCTAATACTGCACCAACAAAACCACTTACAATAGCTAAAGCTGAATCGGCTGGTGTCTCCAAATTCGTTACTTTAAGACTTTGTAATATAAATATTGTATTTGCTCCAACAAGTAATCCACTTAAAAATCCAATTGCCCGAAGACATCTATAACCTGCAAATATTGAAATAAAGGAAGTTAATAAAATTATTTTTAAATATTTTTAGTAAGATTAGTATAAAAATTTAGGAAATCGACATTTTTTAAGAGACGAGAAGATTTTCTATGTTACAGTTAAAAGGTTTTTAATTTTAAAAAGTTGTGTTCCCAAAATCTATAATAAAATTACATGTCTTAAACAACGATTTTTTAATGTTTACAAAATAAATTACATTTTTATTGAGTTTTAATGATTTATATGAAGCATGACTTATTTAAATTTTCTATCACAATTAAAGTGTGTTTCTAAAAAAACCAATACATAGTTTTCATGCAGATTAACTTGCATATATAGAAAAACTCATTAGAGCGTGTAAAAACATTCTTCATACTCTTTGAAATATTTGTTATTAAATCTTTAAATAATGTTAAATATGTATTTGATAAAGTTCAAATAGCATGAATTTAAATTTTAAAATTTTGTATTTTAATTAAATGTGGTCTACACATTCGAGTGCACAAAATTATGTAGATATTAAAATGGACTGGAATTGTAGTTGTGCTTATAAAGTATTGCATGTGATATAATGACGGTAAAATTTTTGATACTCAATATTCTCTTTGGTTCTTAATAAATAAAAGACTTATTGTGAATTAACTTCAACATTTTCACGAATGATGATGCGTAAAATGGGTTTAAGACATAAATAACTTATGAACTGAATCAATTTCGTTTGCATTTAATATTATTAGATGATAAACCGGAAATGAAATTTGTTATTGAAAATGTTCTACAAAAATATAGCTGACCAGTATACAATAAGTTGTAATGTATAAATTATTAGTAATTTGAAATGATTTATTTTTAAACATGACTAACTGCAACTGACCCTATATTTAACAGGCACATTTGAGTGGAAAAATAAATTATCACAATAAAATTATTAAAAATGTTCAAATATACAGGAAGGGTTACATTTTAAAATAGTGTGAATTCGAGTTTTCAATTCTAAAACTCTAAATTGCCAAATTTAAAAAAAAAACTTACAGTATTCACTTTTATATTGTGAACTGAAACGCTATTACAGAATATACTTTTAAAATAGGAACATATTTAAGTACAATGAACTTTCTTTAAATTATTTTAATTTAATAGAAAAAAAATTTCATTTGTTAAATAAAAGAAATAGAAAAAAATTATTGTAATTTCCATAAATTAAATAATTTATTTCAATTATTTGCTTGGCATAGTAAATAAATGAAGAAATTTTCAAAAATTTTTTAAAATATTCATTGAATCAATTCATTATTGTGAAATTTTAATGAAATTATAACTAATGTCAACAGTGATTTGAAAAATAACTATAATTGTAATTTATTGTACTTAAAATAGATGACAAAATAATTATTAAAGACATTAATTGAAAAATTTAGATTATTTATTGGAAAAAATGTGAAAAAATGTATGTAAGTATATAAAACTATATTAAATTCGATTTGTGGAACTAAATAGTAATATTTTCAGTGACAAAAGTTTTATAAAACAAACAAGTATCTAGGTAGACCTATTGTAGTTTATCAATTTTATCTATATAAGCTTAATATAAATCAGTTTTTCGCCCGTATTGTTCACGTGTGTTTACACTATCAGTACGATTGTTACATTATCACATTTATTTAGAGAATTAGTTGCCTTTAAATACAGAATTTAATTATAATTTTAATTAAAAGTGCTCACGAGAATTAAGAAGAAGTTTACGTTTTTATGTAAAATAAGGGGTTTTTTACGTTTTTTAATATATATTGTGTTTTTTTTTCATTTGATATGAAAAATTCCGGAGTTTATATATTTTTAACGGAGGATACTAAAGTACTTTTAAGTATTCTATGTTGTGTATAAAAGGTTTGAGGATATTGGGTTCTATGACAAAAATATAGAGTTGTTTACGTTTTTATGTAAAATAAGGGGTTTTTTACGTTTTTTAATATATATTGTGTTTTTTTTTCATTTGATATGAAAAATTCCGGAGTTTATATATTTTTAACGGAGGATCTTAGATTGCTATTAAGTATTTTATGTTGTGTATAAAAGGTTTGAGGATATTAGGTTCTATAACAGAAATATAGAGTTGTTTACGTTTTTATGTAAAAAAGGGGTTTTTTACGTTTTTTAATATATATGGTGTTTTTTTCATTTGATATGGAAAATTCCGGAGTTTATATATTTTTAACGGAGGATCTTAGATTGCTATTAAGTATTCTATGTTGTGTATAAGAGGTTTGAGGATACTAGGTTCTATGATAGAAATATAGAGTTGTTTACGTTTTTATGTAAAATAAGGGGTTTTTTACGTTTTTTAATATAAAGGAATAAAATATACAATTGCCGTTACATCACACGTGTAAAGTATATTTGCACATGATTCAGTTTACGAGTTACAATAACTTTTTAGAAGTAATTATACCTTTAAATTCAACAAATCGGATATACAATTTAAGAAATTTTAAATTAAATCTACAAGATCAATAATCATTTGCAACAAGCAAAAAAGCGCTTAAAACAAGGGAGGTAAATATTATATTGAAAAATGTAAGTATGTATGTGCTTATTGTTACAGTTTAATGAAATAATATTTTATACATAGTGTATCGTATTTATAATACCGTATACGTTATACATACTTTCTGCTCTAATATTCCCAAATTCTTTTTTAATTTTCACATAAAGTTAAAAGATGCCTATTATGTATTCATAGTACCTACTCACACCTAGTGGCTTATTGTACTTGTATGTATATAGACTTGTCGAAAAATCAATGTTAATAAATTTTTTTTTATTTTTTTTTTTACAAAATATTTCACACAACAATGACACCAAAAAAAATAAAATAAAAATAAATTATTAATGTTTTTTTTTTGCTTTTATTGAAATCAAGAAGAAAAAAAATTATTGAAAGGAAAATTTCTTTCTTTTATACGCTAGATGATATTTTTCCTTTTGATTTTCCGTTATAACAGTTTTTCCAGTGAAAGTGTATTAGTATGTATAAGAAATGTAAAATACTCACATACGAAAAAGAATCTTTTTGTCGGAAATGGAAAGAAAATAGGGAAAATTGTCATAAAAACGTAGGTATATCAGAAAAATAAAATAAAATTGAAAGGAATTTTTACTCTTTCTCAAAATATTTTATATTTTATAGGCTCATAAACAGTTTAAAGAACCTATATAAAGAAAAATATATTTTAATCTTTCTCGATTTGTATTTAAACATACATACATACATAAATATTCGATGAAAGTAACTATACATACGATTAATGCTCGGAATAGATTTAATAAATAAAATAAGGAAATGAAGATCAGTGGAATTTTATAATTTATTTTATATAAATTTTTACGAAGAATAAACAAGAAAAAATGATAACCTAAAACAAAGTCGAAAGATTTTTGCGGCGAAAATCAAGTAGAGATTTTCATAAACGTAAAACTGCCAAAATGTAATGTGATAAATATTTTTAAATGTTCCATGAAATCAAAGCAGTTCATATGATTTAACTGCAATACTCATATACTAATTTCGCTATATTACGAAAAATTAACCATGTTTATGAACATAAACTAGATTAACTTCCATTACGTATTCATTATTTCTTACATTCATGTTCTTATTTAAGAAAATTATTTTTTTTTACTTAAGTACCGAAAGTACATGAGCAACGAAAAACATAATTTCTATATGACGTTGTATAAAAATCTTATTTTTTGTTGATCTATTTCAAAGAAATTCAATAGTTTTTTCTTTTATTAAAATTACTCTACATAAAAATTTATATTTCAAATAATATATTTATATATATTATGTATGTATAAAAATAGTTATAAAAGTAAATAGAGAATAGAAATAAATATATATAAAATGGAATCACAATAATAAAAAAGTGAAATGAGTACAATTACTTTGACAAAACAAAAATATTTCAACATGTTGCCTTTATAGTTTATGAGTACAACAAGTGACAAGCCAACTACAAAAAGCATTCAAGCATTCACAATAACACAAAATAGAAGAAGAGAAGAATTTAATTCTCAATTTGTAGAATATTTCTATTTTCTTTTTTTTTTCGTTTTTTTTTTTTTATTGTAATACCCCGTACTAGGCAAGAAATTCTAATAAATATTATTAAAGTTTTGAATTTGTTAAAAAAGTTTTGGATAATTTATTTTTTTCTTCTTCTTCGCAATATCTTTAATGTTTTAAATTGGTGTAAGCTTTAATCAATTTTAATCTGGATACTAGAATCTAACATTTGGGAATGAAAATATTATTCATAATAAAATAGAGAACCATAGTGAATTATGTAAGTAAATAAAAAATTTTGTAATAAAATTCAAAGATTTCTTTATTTTTTTGTAGAAGTGCTCTACTTCTTTTATCGTTTACATAAATCATATTATGATTTAAAATTGTTATGTTAAGATCAAGAGCCGAAAATTTATGCACCGTGGAAATAAAAATTCTATTTTTAAATATACATCGCTAATCGAGTACTTGTACATCGCTAATAAAGATTGCACTTAATAATTGAGAACTGAAGAAAAAACAGTAATTTATCTAACATATGTATGTGTGTAAAGCTGCTTTAGAAGGAATACTTGCATATAATTATATATACTGTTTTGAAAGAAATACAAAAAAATATTAAACGAATGTAAGAAGACAATAGTGGTATAACACTTTGGACGATGTAACTAACTATCAATTTCTATTATTTTAATGAAGAGTCCACAACAATAACTATTATACATCATTTGTGCATACATATACATAAAAAATTATTACGTATATTTTTTATATTTGATCTTAAATTATGCTAGAAAATTTTAAAATTAAGATGAATGACCATAAATTAAATTTAAATTACAATATTCGGTGAGGAATATTTTTTGTTCCCTCAAGTTGGGAAACAATGTTTCACAATATATTCGAGATCTTTTTTCCTTAAATGAATTC